ACATATGTATTTGTCTATATCTGTATTCCTGAATACAGTAGAGAACAGGGGGATAAATTTAGGAAAACGTATTAGTCATAATCAAACTCCTTAAAGGAGTGAGTCACTAGGCCTAGGGACTCAGCACCATCGTCTCAGGGGCCACCAAAGTCAACTGGCAGAACAGAGTTCACAAAGACAATGTTCTACATCCTACTTTGTGCATAGTGACTGGAGTCTTAAAAACATGTGAGTTTCCATCACAGCAATTAGTCTCCCTAGCTAAAGGGAAAAAAAAGAGTGAAGAAAGCAAAGATAAAGAAAACAGTTCATCCCTTTGGATGAATGAACCAAGTACATACTCTAGGCTCCAGGACCCTGAAACCAGGAGAACTACAGGGTGCAGGGCTACCACAGCTGACAACCCTGAGAAGGATTCTATGAGGTGGGTCTCAAAACGTGGGAGAACAATGTGGCACAAAACACAGAAAGCAGGAAGGGATAGTAAAGGGGGATAATTCGAAATGGCAAATGCAGGGAAAAAGTGGGAACTATGCTCCTATTTTGTGCAGATTGCAACCAATGTCACACACATGAAATGTGTATGAATTACTGAATGGAAAACTAATTTGCTGCATAATGTTTCACTCAAATCATAAGAAAAAGTTTAAAAATAGGTTTCCTTCTAAATATTGAAAGATTCATTACTACTTATTATTTAAAACTACATTCTAATAACAAATTGCAAAACATCATACTTGGATTTGGGATCATCTAGTCTTACTAACATCTTTTACAGAACTTAAATGAATTTGTGTATAATAAAATGAATGAAAGTATGACTGTATGACTACAGTATTTTAAAACTGAATTCCAAAAACCCAAACCCACTACCATCAAGCCCATTCTGACTCATATTGACCCTACAGGACAGGGTAGAACCACCCAGCGAGTTCCCGAGGCCGTTAATCTTACGGTAGTCCACAGCCTCTTCATTCTCCCACAGAGCAACTATTGGTTTCCAATTGTGGACCTTGCAGTTAGCAGCCCAAAGCTTACAGGTCAGAATGCCTGGATTAAATTATTCTGTGAAGCAATTATGTATTATAGTCACTCTCCACTGCAAGCTGGTCATATTCAAAGAGCTTTGTAGGGTTTCTGTTTGTTTTGTGTTTTTGCTTTGTTTGGACACAAAAGAAAAGAGCAAACTCTGGGAAATGTGATTTTAAATCTAATCTCCCTGGTTTTCTATCATGGAACAGTTCATAAAAAACCCACACAATTCTTTCATGAAAAACAGGGAAACACAAGTTGAGACAGTCTTAGGGGTCTAAAAATGGAATATGCTGTTGGAGTTAATATCAAAGTCAAAACAAACCAAACAAACCAAACACTGCTATTGAGTGGATTTTGAGTTATAGCAACCCTGTAGGTCAAGTAGAACTCCTCCATAGTGTTGGTTGCAATTAAAATACATTTTCTCATGTACAGTCTAAGATTTATAGGCTGGTCCACAAAAGAAAGCATAACACAAAAGTACAACACATTCCTCTTAACCCAGAATGTCTACTAGAACTCAACTCCATACTAAGTATTGAGAACAAGGGGCTGTGAGATGTATGAGATAAAAAAAAACTTAGAAAAAAGGAAAGGCACAAAATCTCCCACTCATCTCTCTCCCCATCATCATTTTTTAGCTATAAAATTACTTAAAAGGGAAATTTTTGGAAAGTGGTAAAAGTCTGTCACTGGCCATGCCCCATCTCTCTGTTCACTCATCTTCCTCATCTTAATCCCCTTTACTTATGTTCTCAGCTTAATAATATCATCTATTAGTCATTACGCACTTACTATGTATGAATCAGGTGCTGAATCACTAAACTCAGAGAGATGGGGTAATTTTTCTGTAGTCATGTGGCAGAGGCAAAATGGAGCCCAAGTCTGTTTGATTCTGAAGCCCAAATCGTTCACCATTAAGCAACCCTGGTTCCTAACTCTGAGCAGATTCTTCCCTGTTATGAAACTCTATGAGTAGGAATCAACTTGATAAGTAGGCCGTGAGATTTTGATGAGTCTCTAACCATTTCTTTCTAACATAACTTGGGAGAACGTCAGGCTGACAACCACCTGCCTCCTTTTCCCTTGAGGACCAACCCTCAAACCAAACTGTTCAGTTGATTCCGAAGACAGAGTAGAAATATGCCTTAGGGTTTCCAAGGAGTTAATCTTTATAGAAGCAGATTACCTATTTTTATCCCATGGTGCAGCTGGTGGGTTGAAACTGCCAATGTCTGTTAGCAGCCAACTGCTTAACCAATACATGACCAGGACTCCACCTACCAGAACTGGCATGTTTTTAAAGTTGGGTAAGCATTGGATACTAACAACAAGTTCAATGGTTCAAACTCACCACCTACTACTTGGGAGAAAAAAGGCTACCGGCTTCTGCAAAGATTTACAGGATCCGATAATCGGATCACTATGACACAGAATCAACTTGTTGATAGTGAGTTTGGTGGGCAATCTTCTTTAGTCAAAGCAGAAAATAAAACAAAACTGAAGGAATTTGCTGTAATTCTCAATCTTTCCAGAGCTTGATAAAGGGACATATAAGGGGGCTTTAAAAAGTTCATGGAAAATGCAACGAAAGATAATGAGATTTTTCCAGGGGCTTTTTGGAACAGTCTGTTATAAAATCACCTCCAAGTGACAGAATTTCAATCGGTTAATAAAATCAAGAAGTGAAAAAAAAAAAAAAAGGAAGCAGCAAAAGAGTATGTCTGGACAGAGTGGGAGGAGAGGGCATATCTCTTAGTTTACCTCTCAATAGATCACATTTTTACCCCCACAGTGTCTTTCCTTCTTCTACGCTAGAATCTCTAAGTAGGAAATGAAGGAGAGGAGAGGAGGGAAGGGAAAAGGAAAGGAGGGAGGAGGAACAGATAAGTGGAGGAAACAATATGAGTACATAATTGGCATTCAGTAAGTTCCTGAAGCCTTTATTTGTCATGGGATGAAACCAAAGCCTAGTGCATGTAATATGATGTTGTCCAACAAATGGCAGCTTGGGGAATGGAAACTTCAAAATGTCTAACTCCCAAGCTAATACACTTTCTTTTAGGTACCTAAGACTAAAATTACCCATTTATCTTTCTTTTCAGTTTAAGGCCTGCCAAAATGGAGACAAAGGAGTCCTGGTGGAGAAGTGGTTACACATTGGGCTGTGACCCTCTAGGTCAGCAGTTTGAAACCAACAGCTGCTCCTCTGGAGAAAGAAAGGGCTTTCTTAAAAAACTAAAACAAAAAAAGTTACAGTCTCAGAAACTCACAGGGGCATTTCTACCTTATCCTACAGGGTTACTATGAGCTGACATCAAGTTGGTAGCAGTGAGTTTGGTTTTTGAAAATGAAACAAAACTGATTGAATATTAATATAAGCCCACAGGAATGTTGCCAAGTAAAAAATCTCAAATATAACCAACTCCCATCTGAAAATGGCTTCTACCATCATTTCATAAAATAATTTAATCCATGTGTTTGTTTTGCAGTAAAGGCATACAATCCATCCTTATGGAGAGATTATCTGTCAACCCCACCTCCCTTCTTTCCATTAAATTTAGCAGCTGCATCTCAGTTTAATTCCTGCTACCTGACATTTTTGAGAACTTGGCTTTTCAATAGAGTTTGAATTCTAAAGCCCCTGGATTTAATGGGCCTGTCCTTTGAGGCCAGCTAAAGTACAATCATAGAACAATAGGGGTCAATACAGCTCTTATCAAATGTTCACCTTCTACTTTGATAGCACTCATTGTTAGAGAACTCCAAAGGTCAAATTCTTATCAAAAAAGCATACAGGCAGATAAACTAAATGAAGTTAATGAGAAGACCATTATCAAATACTCCAGAGAAAGATAATTAGGGGGCTTCTTTCAGAAATAAACATTGAAAGAAACTTTTATAAAGGACAAAGGGAAAAGATGTGAACCTCTAAGAATGAAACGAAGAATGATAGTAGTTGAAGTTCATTGTTCTACGAGTAAATATTTAAAGCAAACTCTTGTCTTGGGTTCACCCCCACAATATCAAAAAGTGAAATGCCCTTGCTTAGTGGAAAATTTAAGGGTCCAAAGAGATGATTGACCAAATAGCAGAAAACACAACCTATAAAAAGCATAATTGCCAATAAAAGCCTACTATTCTGTTAATGAGAAACATCAATTTATAATCTTCTTGTCCTCAATTACCCAAAGTTTATTACTAAATCTAAATTAATATAAGAATATTAATCCAAACAAAACCATACCTGAGAGATTCTCCTCTAAGTATGTTTATATCTGAACTCATGTTTGGAGCAATAACAACATATCAGAAGGGAAAACATTCAGTTTAATATATTACAACTTTTTGGAAGGGGTCTTTAATATGGACCACGAGGTGTCCAGTAGGTTTTAAGGAAGATGGATAAAAACAATAGAATATGAAACATTTTCCCTCCCTCTAAGTGAATCAGTTATTTATTTGAACCTGATTTATGCTCATTTGTCAAATAAATATTCACAGTCAGAGTCATGTTCCAAAATATAACATTATTCTAACTAGCCAATGATGAAAAAAAAATCTCATTTTGTTTAACTTCTTTTCAATACAGATAGCCTAAAAATAAAGAGGAACTTTTTTTTCCCCATTTCAGTCTTATAAATATTTTTCTAGCACGCTTGTATTTTTTGCAAGCATGCTCCCATTGCCTTGTAGTAAACTTTAGAAAATGTTGGGATTCCGAGAGGCTGCCGACAAGGCCATTCAAGCCTTGGCAGGCCTGGGGCCTCATTTCGACTTCTCTCGCCCCCTCTAGCGTTGGCATAGCTCATCTGCTTGATTATCCAGTTACCTCACTGAACCAGAGCTTGGCTTAGTCCTGCCCATCTATGACATCACCCACTTCTTCAACCACTGCGAGGTGAAGCTTTAACTTCAGACTTGGAGGTGGGCTGAGTGCAGTAAACTGGAATATTCTCTCGCTCTCACTCCTCAGCGTAGGAGTCACCCGAAGCAGGGCAAGCTCAGCCTGCAGCTGCCGTTGGCTTTGTGTGGACGGGATGCGGAGCTGGCGAGAGGGGGAGGGCTCTGAGTCCAGTTCACAATCAGTGGAATTACAGCTAGAGCGGCAGTGTCTATAGGATTGCTTTTTCTCGTCTTCCTAGGTAAGTGTTTTCCGTCTTTTACCTTTTGATTGTCCCAGAAAGTTTGCTCGGTTACTTTTCTAGGAAGAAATGACTTAGTGCTGTGAGGCATACAAATACAAACGTTTGCTCTGCCACCAGTAGAAGCAATATATGTGCGTGCAAACGAGAAAGGAAAATTTTGAAATTTTATCTATCTATCTATTTAGATATACCCACATGCAAGAAATGTCTTAAAATCTTTCGTGAAAAAAATGTTTGCCTGTTCTCTGCCTTAAGTAGCTACGGTTTGGGAAAAAAAAGCATCATATTATAAAATAAAATAAACACGGTGGAAAGTTAAATGTTAAATATGAGAGTATCAGGCACAATTTTCACAGATAGGAAAGAGATAGCTGTGTTTACTGTATGTGTGGTATGATCACCAATCGCTGTTTTTACAACTGTGAAAGAAAATCAATAATCCCTCAGTTCACGAGTACACAGTATATAGAAAGCAAACATCTTGCTCACAGTCAGCGGAGCTTCTCCTGGCGACTTGCTTACCTATGTTAAAGGATTAACAGCTACACCTAGATTTTAAAACTTGCACTGCTGTCCTGCTTGAGCTGCTTCAAATACTTCAGGCTCTCAAATCTGGACTAGTGAGTATAACCCGGAGGAGGGGGAGGCTCTTCCAAACCATATTCCCTCTCCAGCAGAACGCCTAAATCCATTGCTTGGACAAGTGTAGTATGTGACCAGCATAATAATTGGCAAAGTCTACTCAGAAAAACTGACAAAGCGGAGCCTGGAAGCTATACCCGATGTAATGCAGCAATTTGGGGGTTGGGGTAGGGGAGGAGATTAAAGAGTAAAGAGCCCTCATCAAGGGAGATATGCAAAGCATCCACTTACAATTTATATTAGGAAAAGAATTTAATCGGAATAAAGAAAAGAGCTTTCAAAAAGTATGTAAATGTATCTTCTCAAAAATGTTTTCCCAGTGAATGAAATCTGAGACAAAATGGTTGGCAGAGAGTGCAACAGGCCTGTGGCTTCTCAAGATCTGTGGGATTGGTTTTTAAGTTATTTTATTAGAATTAAAAACAAGACAAGACCCTTTTCAAAGGGTTGTCAATTATGGACTCACGTTTTCTTAATGGTTTAAACAAATAGTTTTTTAAATGTTCTTAATGCATCTGTTTGAAAATGCACACACATATATATCATTAGTCGAAGTAAAACGTGAATAAAACCACTGGAAAAGTGATTCAGCTACAGCAGTGGCTTTCATTTGTCCCTAACAGGATCAGACCACCCTGGGCAGAGGAAACATAAAGAATGAATTTGTCTGTTTTCAGGGATAATCATGTATGCCTACCATGATGATTGATACACATCTCAGTCATGAATAAAGAATAAATTATTCCTTTATAAGTATCACAATGATATTAATATGTCTATGAATACTACTAATAATAGGAGTTTAAAATATAGATATGCCAACTAGTTTGCAAGTGTGCATGTAAACATGCATGCATATATATAGGTACATATACACAAACACACATACATGTATTTAATAGCCTATTTAACTAGGAAAATTACAGGCTTTTAAAATATAGTGTATTGCCAAAACACATTTACGTTCAAGAATCAGCAAAGATATGAGTGAATAAATAAACACCAGAAACCCAATAATATTGTGTTCCTGGATTATTACCTACCAGTTATTAATTGAGGCTTTCATTTCTCTTACCCACTCCTTTTAAAAAATCAATTATGGTTAGGCTCAAAATGCCCCCAATTAAATCCTTCATAAACATTAACATTTGTAAACTACATAATTGGGCAGCAAATAAAGTTTTACAAAGAGAAAAAACAACACAAGAATATTTGCCATAACTGAATGTGGCAGCAAAATAGAAGGTATGTTTCTTTTGCTTTCTTCAAATGTTAATTAAGGAGCCTACAATTCTATCAAAACTTTTCAGAGCTAAATGAAGCGGTGTGAAATACATTTGGTTGAAATCTTGTGGCTGTCAGACTTTGTTAGCAAGCTATTAATTATCTTTACCCCAGCTTCTTCTCTTGACTATCTTGCCCAATCAAATAGAAACTCCAATTATGCTCAGCATCTCCTGCCTAGGGACACAAAACTCTAATGAACACTTCATCTCTCCAGAAGAAAAATACAATTATCAGCTTTTAACATGCAAGTGCACTGTGGAGAGATTTGCTGGTGCATTTCTTGGCCACATACCCTAAAGCTCCCTCCTTTTTATGGTTAATTTTAAACAATGTGAAACTCTACAAAGGTCAACAGCAGAGAACTTGTCTTAGTACACAAATGTCCTTTCTTTTTTTCTTTCTTTCTTTCTTTCTTGGTTCTTGTTCTTATATGCCAGTGTTTCTATCTGAACATCAAAAATGCAATATTTAAATCTGGTCAAGTAAAAGGCTTAGAGTTTCCATTCCAGTTGATCCTAACTTTCCCTCCACCTTCTTAGCTGGGTGGGCCACATAACAAAGAATGTGAATAATTACAAGACCCAGGGCTGACAAGCATTATAATAAAAATCTGAAAATAATATTCAAACCAGTTTATTTTAAAAGGCATTATAAATAATGTTTTAAAGTCACACGAAGACATTCATAAATGATGTTAATGAGAGGAATAAGATTTGATGCATTTTTCAAAAGCTGAAATTTCTTTCCCTTCCTCTTCCCCCTCCTACTCCACCACTTCCCCACCCTGCCCTCAGCCTCCCACCTTTTGCCCCAGAGGCCCTCACTGTTCTTCTCAACGGGAGGCTTTGTTGTAATTAAACCAAAGAAAAAGTGGCCGGCAACTGCCCGTGTCCAATTTGCTGCTCCTGAAAGCAGCATTCTGGTAGAGTACCACCCTCCAGTGGGCAAACACTCGACAGTAAATTTCTCAACAATATGAATCCTCCAAACGGAATTTTCCCTTTGTAGCATAAAAAGAGATATATCTTGGCTCCTTTTCATACATTTCACCATTTCAAAAATTTACTACAGTTCAACACACAGGTTTCTAACATAGAGATTGGTTTTTAATTCTGCCAAAAGAAAAACAAACTTTTCATCCTCTTTGAGTACCCAAATAGGTATGTATTCTTAATCCTTTTTCAGTTTTAAAAGTCTGGTTAAATGTCATACTAAGAAACATTAGTTCTGAAAGCCATTTTTATATTGCATGTAGGAGCAGTTTGTAGAATTCTAATTTGCCTACTGACAAATACTGAGAGATACAGATTTTAAGTAGAAAGGAATGGAATCTATTTTAAGCAAGAGCTAAGCTTCATTTGTTTTGCATATGCATGATCTCTTTCCTAGCCTCAAACTCAAGTGTCAGGAGTGTATTTAAAAAAAAAAAATCCTTAAAGAAGAGAAAGAAATTGCTCTCACTTGATGAGACAATGACAGCTTTTGTTCTTTATTCCTTCACTTACCTGTGCACAAGTTACCTTGGTAACTTTGAAAAGAAAATCTGGACTACATTTAGCTAAACATCATTTTAAAAATGCAATATTAGACTCTCAATTGATCAGTTATGTGTTGTTGATTTTGTTCTTCATCTGGTTTAAATCAATAACAACCCACTATGACATGAAAAAAATCACCAATGTTTTATGCAATTAGCACATTGCTGGGCAAAACAGTAGACTTGAAATAGATGGAAAAATAAGTAGGAAAAATTTAAATCACCTCAACAAAATTGGACTCAATAATATAAAAAATTTTAAAGGAGTCAATTTTACAAAGGGAAAATGTGATTTACCAGACATAAGCATGGCTTTAACTGCAAATTGCTCAAATGTCAGCACAAATTTAAAGCATCCCTCCTCCAACTCTACTTCTCAACTTTGCCATCCCTTAAATTAATATCTTGTTCCTTTTTTTAAAGTTTGACTTTAACGACATGAAAGAAAATGACATTCATTATGGTCAAAGATGAAAGATACCACACCAGTCTGCCTTTTTGTTCAAAGGATGCTCGATTTCACTTTATAAGCCAAAATAAATGCAGCCAAATTATGTTCATTTATCACGAACTTATTGGGGCCAAAAAAAACTAACATAAGTAAAGAAAAGAAAAGCCTTTATTCTCTATTTTCCATAAATGAAACACAACCTTCCTTAGGCTAGAATCTAGCCTGGAAAAACAAATATGAAAAGGCACACTTGCTTCTCTGCCTCTCAGCAAACCCTTCAGACTTCATGACTCTCAAGAGGAGAGTTAGAGGTCCTTCTGCTTGCCTGGCATTAAACAAAAGAATTGGAACTTTCCTGAAATCTGATGATCGTGGAAAATTTAACTACCAGACAGGCTGCTTAGAAAGCATTTTGCTGTCACTGTCAACTAGCCTGATGGACCCCAGTTTTCCCGTTTCATCATCTATGTAGTTTATTTGGGAATCACTTGTTCTTGCAGAGATTTAGCATTCACAGGTTGATCGTGTTGTTGAGTTTTCTGGATGAAATTTAGGACTTCATAAAAAAATAACTTTCCTAGATCATGGTCGCGTAACATCCAATTTACCTAGAAATATTTGAAAACTTGGGTAAATTGCATTAGGCTTCTGTTTTCTCAACCTCAAGATTTTACTTAAAATAATCATGTAATTGACTTAGACTGAAAGTTCTGCATGTCATACTACTTCTAGTTTTAACATTTTAAACAATTTCCAGCACTAAGAAATGATTGTGTGAGGAAAGTCATTGAAAATAAACAACAACAACAAAAAACTCAAAATCGTATATTCATTTTAAGATTAAAAAATTAGTGATTCTTAAACAATCCAAATAAAAATCTGTTTAAATCATGAGTGATAAATAAAGGATTTGGAAATTTGGCAAACATTAACATTTATTAACTATCTCAGCTAAAAGATACTACTAAAACATGAGAAAAATCATATCACTATAAACATTCCCACCTCAAAATTTTTGTAGTAAAACATGAGGGATCATAAAAATATGTAGATTGCTTCAAATTCTTGATTTTATTGAAGTATACGTTTTCCACTTAGGCATAACTTCTGAAATTACTTCAGTTTTCCTCAAACAGCTCCAATGAGAGCACCCTTATCTTTAATATTTTTCTCAGGTAAACTATGGAAATAAATTAGAGACTTGATGATTGCATTATAAATGTAAAAATATTTCTATAAAAGAAAATTAATAGAAGGGACCCTATTAAAATTTTGATTTAACTGTAAGGTGATTATGTTTTTCTTCCTTTTGCCATCATTTAAAGTATATACTTAAGTAAAATTTCTAATAGAAAAATGTTAATGCATTCCATTAAATAACCAGGGTTCCATTTATAATTTTTAAAAAGAAGATATGAGTCTTTTTTTGTTCAGAAGTCATGGCTTCTCTCAAGCCCATGCAGACATAAAGGCTCTAATTTTCACGTTATGGAAACCTGGCCACAGTGTCCATGCCAGGGGGAGGCGTTTTTCTTTTCATCATTCACACTCAACTACAATGTCCGTGTCCTCGTGAAAATAGGGAACCTGCTCAGAGAGGGAGAAGTCTCAGAATAGGGAAAGGATTGCTATTTTCCATGGACAGATCACCATGGTCTTAATATGCCACAAGCAACAAAGCAAAGAAAATGTTTTGCACTGTGGTTCCAACTTTAAAAGGGAAGACTATCAAGCACACTGAAGCAAATATTGAACTGTTTTGAGCTTAATAAAGGGGAAAAGGGCATGGGAGGGAGGGAATCCATAAAGCAAAATCCTCATTCCTGAAACAATGTCCTTCTTGCCAAAGAAACCTGCTTTGGTTTTACCTTACCTGTTATATTTTTACCTTACTTTGACACATAGAAATTGCCGTTTTCCAAGAATTTAAGGTGTTAAGGCTTCCTAGTGATCTCACATTATCACCACTATTAATGGTAAATGTGTGCTGCTCAACAGCAGAGGAGGAAACTTCATAAATACAAAGCAGGAAAACTAAAACAAATTAATCTATCTTCTTTTTCATACCAATTTAGACATTTTTTCCCGTTTCTCTGGGTTAGAAATGTGAACAACAATACATATTCATAGAGCCAAATTTGGTGACATATTTATAGTTCAAATGGAAGCTAGGTGGCAGTTATTTATCTCTGGTTTTTAGGATCATCACCTTGCCCACGTTTAGTCTGAGCTGACTGGGGCATAATCAACAATTTTAAATCCCATGTCAGCATGGAATTGCTGGAACATGACATGTGCTTTGCTATTGGTAACATGTTAAACAGGTTCTCAGTTGTTAATTTCATAATGGAAATAACTTTGTAATTATAATTTCAACAGCATCGTTGTTCCGTTTCACAGACTGAGAAAGCAAAATTTACCAAAAAATATACTATTGAAATTGAACAGTAACGAAGCTCTACAGACAAGACAGTAACACCTCACATTAAATGGTATATTATTTAAGCCTTCCTCTGTGGGTACTTTGCTTATTCACCAGAGACTGCTTGATCCATCTGCTAATTGCTATTTTTGTTTTAAGATGTCAAAATAATCAATTAAATGTACTGGGTATTTTTGGTTTGTTTGTTTCATTCTGCCAATGCAGGTAACCTAAGTGTAAGGTTGCATTGGTATCTAGTGGTAATCTAGACTAAACTAAATTTTCAAAGAGAATCCAAATAACAAAGTTTGACCTCATTTAACATACACTTTCAGCAGAATATTGGAACTCAGGAACAGATGCTATCCTTGTTGGATGCTAGGTAATTACTGGGGAGAAGCAAATTGCAGCTACTTTAGTACTTACTTTTAGGATCAAATAGTTCCTGAAACTTAAACATTCCCTGTATATAGAAAGCACTTGAGTGGGTGATGTTGCAAAACAGAAGCTGACCCGAGCCTCCTCTTCCAGCCCCTCCAAGCAGTCTTTATGTGTATGAAATAATGGTTAAAGAAGTCATCAATAAAATCAACTCATTTCCTTAGTCAAGTCACATCTTTCAGAAATAAAAAGTAAACGGGAGTGTTCCTATTTGAACCTAGAAAGACATGCCCTCTGAGGTTTTGATAGGCTCTCCTCATGGTCATTACAAGGAGGTGGAGGGAAATAGCCTCCTTTTTGTTCCAAATCTAGGTTGTTTAAATTCAATTTGCTAAGAAAAAATTTAAGGGCGTATTCTGAAAAATGAAGAAGGACTTGAAGGTCTATGGCACCGTTTTGGCCGCTAGTCCTCAGAAGCCCCCTGAAGAAGGATGGTCATGGTGCCCAACCTCTGCAATTGGGAAAATCAAGGCAGGCTGGTAGAACGAGAGCAGCGCACATCAAAAGCTTCTAAATTATTTTCAGGTTTTTCAATTGTAGAGTACATGATTTGGTAAAGCCTTGTTCATAAACGTTTTAAAAATTACTGTGGTGTTCCAGGGAAAACCCCTTTCATGCATTTGCTGCTCTATTTGAATTATACTTATTTTGTTGTTCTCGGTTGGTTTAAGTTGTTTTTGAACCATTTGGTCATTTTATAAGGTTTAAAGTAAACATTCAAAGGTAGCTGAATTTGAAATCAGCAAAAGGGTCTTACTATCTCTTGAACGAAGCTTTACTTCTTTTTTAATTCAGAATGACCCTGGCAGTGAATACAGAATGTAAATTTATTGTTTGGTATGATTCCAACTTTGGATCATATTGCATTTATATAGTAAAATGGAAAACATAAAAATAAATAGGTCAAGAAAAATATATTGCTTAAAGAAAGAATTGAAATTAAATCACTATAGGAAAGTTCTATACTGTATTAAAGTTTTTTATGAATAGTTCATTAAAACTTTTTTACTTTCACAGATTTTCAAACCCTGTCTATATTAAGGAAGAGAAGAAACATCGAGGAAATCTAGTGTTTTTGTTTGTTTGTTTGTTCATGAAGAATACCTGCATTAAGTTTTCTTTAACCTCTTAAAAAGGAATACTGTTCTTGCATAACGTGACGACTGCACTAGAGGTTCTGACAAAGCAGCCAGAAGCAAAAGCTGGAAATAGCTATTTCATAGCAGGTAATCATACCTCGGAATGTAGCTACTTTACAAAGTTTTCACTTGGATAATCCTGGATGGGAATAAATGTGGGGAGGGTTGCCTGAAAAACATACTACTGTCCAAGCCTTAGCATCATGACTGGTTTTCTTCATGTGGAGCTGAAGTTACTATCTCTGACCATACTGCACAGATGAGCCAATAAGAATTTCAAAGAGGGCAATTTCCACTAAGGAAATTAAGCTACACAAAAAGAACCTGCACCTAGAAACTTTTATCAGAAAGAAGAAAATAAAACAAACCATAGGAGGCTGTGTGCCCTACATAGGAAAAGGAGGCGGAATTGTTTCTGGCCCCCACTTTAATGAGCTGGCCCACCATGCTGAACTACAGTTGGATGCCCATTGACAACAGTGAGCCTGAGCTGGAGGCGTGTGCAGCATAAGACTACTTGAAAAGCAGTGAAGAGCATTTCCAAGCGTGTATAAGCCCCAGCCCCTCACCAGGAAAATAATACATGTGCATTGGATTTTCACCCACGCAAATTTACTACATCATTCAATAAGGTAGGAAATATATTTAAGTATTTTATTTCCATGCCTGAAATCATAAAGGTGGAGTAATACTTAAAAGTGCCCAAAAGATTATTTATACAATAGTTCAGTATAAACCTTTAATTCTCCAGTCTTGAGGAGAGCTGAATCATGTCCCATCTTTATACCATGAAGAATCATAAATGCATTATAAAAACGTTGTCGTAAGATGGAATATAAAAATTACATGGCTAAAAGACCTTATGCCATGTAGTGTGAGTTTATTTTTTTAAAAAAACAGGGAAAGGAGAAATATGGTAATCAAATTAAATTTTCCACGTAGTTTTGCTGAATGTATTGGTTGCATAATTCCTTCCCTAAAGCAGATGAAAATAAGATTTTAAAATCATTTTCTCCCTAGAAATACATTTTTAAAACTAATATTAACAATAAAAGAAAAGGCATAATATTAATAATCAATACAAATGGTTGTCTTTACTGGGATGCAGAATCTCAAGCAGTGTGTCACAATTTCCAAACGATAATTAATAGACCATGTTTTATTACATACTTCAATATCTGCATTGCCCTTTACTTAACAAACGATTAATCATTATATCTAAATATAACAAATTATATTCCTATGACTGCCAATTCATTGCAAGTACAAAGACAATTTAGAAATTGAATTAGCTTAGTCAGTGGTTGACTACAACATTGATATAAGATATAATTAAAATGCTTTAGCATACTCAAACTAACATTATAATAAATGGTTCAAAATCAAATGGGTTGTGGACATGACACTCCTTACTGTAATACCAGAAACATTTGAAGTAATGAGCTGATATCATTGTTAGCTAGAGTATACCCTAAATAACCAAAATTAAATAGAAATTCTAAAATGTTTTAGTGATTAGAGATAGATGATTGTACTTTCTGTGGCTGTTTTAAATACTATTTTCTGTATCCTAGTCTGATAATTTTTTGTCTTTTTCTATTTGGTTTGCTCCATTTTAGGACTCAGAGGTAACAGAACCTTGGATAAAGAGCTCAACACTGCTGACCATGATCAGCACAGCCTGGAGCATCTTCCTCATGGGGACTAAAATTGGGCTGTTCCTTCAGATGGCACCTCTATCAGTCATGGCTAAGTCCTGTCCTTCTGTATGTCGCTGCGATGCAGGTTTCATTTACTGTAACGATCGCTTTCTGACATCCATCCCAACTGGAATACCAGAGGATGCTACAACTCTCTACCTTCAGAACAACCAAATAAATAATGCTGGGATTCCCTCGGATTTGAAAAACTTGCAGAAAGTAGAAAGAATATACCTATACCACAACAGTTTAGATGAATTTCCTATCAATCTCCCAAAGTACGTGAAAGAGCTACATTTGCAAGAAAATAACATACGGGCGATCACTTATGATTCACTTTCCAAAATTCCATATCTGGAAGAATTGCATTTAGATGATAACTCTGTCTCTGCTGTTAGCATTGAAGAGGGGGCGTTCCGAGAGAGCAACTATCTCCGACTGCTTTTCCTGTCCCGTAACCACCTCAGCACAATCCCCTGGGGTTTGCCCAGGACCATAGAAGAGCTACGCTTGGATGATAATCGTATCTCCACTATTTCATCACCATCTCTTCAAGGCCTTACAAGCCTTAAACGTTTGGTGTTAGATGGAAACCTGTTGAACAACCATGGCTTGGGTGACAAAGTTTTCTTCAACCTGGTCAACTTAACAGAATTGTCACTTGTGCGAAATTCCCTGACTGCTGCGCCAATAAACCTTCCAGGTACAAACCTGAGAAAGCTTTATCTTCAAGATAATCACATCAGTCGGGTGCCCTCAAATGCTTTTGCTTATCTGAGGCAGCTCTATCGGCTTGATATGTCCAATAATAATCTAAGCAATTTACCTCAGGGTGTCTTTGATGATTTGGACAATATAACCCAACTAATTCTTCGTAACAATCCTTGGTACTGTGGCTGTAAGATGAAATGGGTACGTGACTGGTTACAGTCACTCCCTGTGAAGGTCAACGTGCGTGGACTCATGTGCCAAGCTCCAGAAAAAGTCCGAGGGATGGCTATCAAGGACCTTAGCACAGAACTGTTTGATTGTAAAGACAGTGAGCATGTAAGTACCATTCAGGTCATCACTGTGATGCCCAACACAGGGTATCCTGCTCAAGGACAGTGGCCAGCACCAGTGACCAAACAGCCAGACATTAAGAATCCCAAGTTGGTTAAAGATCAGCGAACCACAGGGAGTCCAGCAAGAAAAACACTTACAATTACTGTGAAATCTGTCACCTCTGAGACAATTCATATTTCTTGGAAACTTATCCTACCCATGACTGCTTTAAGACTCAGCTGGCTCAAACTGGGTCACAGCCCAGCCTTTGGATCTATAACAGAAACAATTGTAACCGGGGATCGTAGTGAATATTTGATCACAGCCCTGGAGCCTGATTCACCCTACCGAATATGCATGGTTCCCATGGAAACCAGTAACCTCTACCTATTTGATGAAACTCCCGTTTGCATTGAGGCGGAAACTGCACCCCTTCGAATGTATAACCCTACAACTACCCTCAATCGGGAGCAAGAGAAAGAACCTTACAAAAACCCCAATTTACCTTTGGCTGCCATCATCGGTGGGGCAGTGGCCCTGGTGACTCTTGCCTTACTCGCTTTAGTATGCTGGTACGTTCATAGGAATGGCTCCCTTTTCTCAAGGAACTGCGCATACAGCAAAGGGAGGAGGAGAAAGGACGACTATGCGGAAGCTGGCACTAAGAAAGACAACTCTATCCTGGAAATCAGGGAGACTTCTTTTCAGATGTTGCCAATAAGCAATGAACCGATTTCAAAAGAGGAGTTTGTAATACACACCATATTTCCTCCTAATGGAATGAATCTGTACAAAAACAATCACAGCGAAAGCAGCAGTAACCGAAGCTACAGAGACAGCGGTATTCCAGACTCGGACCACTCGCACTCGTGATGCTCACGGACTCATGGCAGACTGTTAGTTTTTATAAACCTGAGGGAGGGAGGTGGTGGTAGGATCCCTGCAACACTGCAAAACACTGGTAAAAGAGACTGAAAAAAAAAAAGCAATGTACTGTACATTTGCCATATAATTTATATTTAAGAACTTTTTATTAAAAGTTTCAAATTTCAGGTTACTGCTGCGATTGTAGTAGTGGAGATACCTGAAGACAATTATATATTTTAGTATTTTTTAGTAATTTGTACTGTATTTTCCTTGCAAATATTGAGGTTACAGACTATTTACTTTTGTGTTCTACTGAGTAAGAAGACTTGTTGACTGTGAAAGTGAATTTTCTTGCTGTGTTGAACAATCAGGACTGCGTTCACTTGAGATCCTTGTAGTATAAGCACAGGCCATTTTTCACTTTGGTATTAATAAAATGTAAAAACAAAAAACAAAATAATAAAACAGCTGAATGAGTTAAAATAAAATTCAAAAATAGTTATAAGAATATTGTTCAAATTATTAAATTTGTATTATCCCAGTGGTATTCAAGAAATCAATCTATGTGAAGTAATGGGCAATAATATCAAACTTGCTGCATCTCTCCATTTTTGTTTTAGGCAAATTAAAAATCCTTTAAAAGTAAGCATCATTTCTGAATTGACTATATCAGTTGGCATAAAAGGAAGATGAAGTCTGTTGCTAGAATCAGTGTTGAGAAAATTGGGAATGAAGGTGAGCCTCCAAGCTCAGGAGAGAAACGTCTACTTGGGAAACATGAAAACTTTGACTTGTAGAGTGTAGTGGTCACAAATACCAGAATTGCATTTTGGTTTTACTTTTACCATTGGATTTTGGAGAAAAAAATAATTCTCAACATATAATTGATAGTGTATGACGTTTTTATCCTAAAGCATGTCAAATAGAAAAATTATACATACTAAAACAGTTGCATAACTATAAGCAATTTTCTTCAACAGTCCAGAGAACATCATACTTTGAATTGTTGAGACTTTAAAAAGTAAAACACATACTAAAATTTAAATGTAGATCTGGTATAGGTGAGCTATTTTGACACTGTACATAATCTTCAATTTACTTTCACAATGGTCCAAAAAACTGCCCATTACTGCCACAGATTTCCAGATAATACATATGAACTTGAAATGTAACCTTTTTTCTAGCTTCTGACTGAATTGTGAGCTATCACTTGTTTAAAAATCTCATCACTTTTCTGTTGCCATTATTATTTTGTTTTTTTTCAACAAAAAAACCAAAGTGCATTGTACGCCCTTTGGCCAGTCTTGTATGTGCCTTGATCCAATGCTACATGTATTCAGCTTTTAAAATTTGACAAATTTTTCATACTTCCTTAAATATGAAAAATTATGGTCTTATTGCTGAATAAAACTTTTTAAAAAGTACAGAATAATTGTGCTTGCTCTTTCAGGATTATGTTACTGTCACTAAAGTAGCAAATTTTCCAGCACCCCCATATATTTTTCTAGACATAAAAATAAAAGTTGGATACAAATAAAAAAGTGCAATACCTTGAGGTTACATATCTTCAGAGTTCAGTGTTCCATGTAAAAAACCATTTCCCTACCATTTTTTTCAAGTACTCATATTTTACTATTTTCTTTAGGAGAAAACTTCAGAAGCAGCTTGATGTTGCCCTGTACATACACTGGTGCCACTGCCCTTAATACAACTTTGTATAGGGTGGTCTTTGAAAAACAAACATTTAAAAAATAGCTTTTTAGTGCTATAAGTTATCCTCTGAGGATCTAAAACCTCAGACCCACTACTTACTCTGTGTGTACTTAAAACAAATCGCTTGACCCTCAGAGTTGTTACTTTAGAAAATGGGGGGATTAATTCTACCCACCTCGCAGGGTTGTAGTGAGGATTAAATGAGAAGATTTACTTGGACTCTACAATCCCCACAATGTCAGTCATGCCTTCCCAGAGGCTCGTTCAATGCCGCTGCTTCTACCACTCCAGTGACAAATTCATACAACTGACTGTGAAACTTCACTGTTTGTCATCTTCCAGTTGTCTACCAACAATTTCATTTTGACTTCCTTTTATGGAGCAGTGTTCCCTACAAATAATTTAAAGACAAATGTGAATACTGTTAAATAGAGTGAATGTTTCTGAAGGAAGTTTTGACCTCGCTTCTAGTAGTTTTACATTGTTTAGATAGAATTCTCTCAGAAGTCACAGAAAAAGTAGGGTGATTGGCTGATTCCATTAAGTCCTAGAAAACTGAGATTATAAAATGCCACAAACCAAGACATTGTGTTAACTATGTTTCCATTTGTTTACTTTTCATGAACAAACAAAAGATTAGGTTCTAATACTTGTCTTTGATTATCTTTACATGGGATAAATCTAAAATATGCTTTCTACCAGCAAACACACAGGGCACGCAACAAGTGGGATAAACGTTTGTTCTGTACTTGGGCTCTTTAGGAAATCCAAATGCTTTCCTAGGAGAAAGTAAGAGGACTTCAACACATTTGTGGAAAATCTTCACTATCTTTTCATTCCATTTCCCACAAACTCTTTGAAGTGCCTGCCCCTGTATGTCTGCACACGTGACCCTTGAACCACACAAGTTTCAACTGCTCAAGCCCACTTATATAGAGAATTACAGTGAACCCTCGTTTATCGCGGTTAATCGGTTCTAGACCCTACCGTGATAAATGAAATTCCGCGAAGTAGGATTCCTTATTTGTAAATCAAATATTTTCGTAGTTCGAGCATAGAGGACATGAAAAAACACCCTCTAGTCACCATTACACTCGTATTACCCAATTTATTAAACGAAAAAGGGAAAATACAGTAAAATATTTTGGACATTACAATTATCATTTATTATTTATTATATTATTTATGGCATCAATCGTGTACAGTATGAGCCAATCAGTGGCAGTAATGACAGAGCATGCGCTGTTACGCAAAAACCGCGATAGAGTGAAGCCGCGGAAGTCGAAGCGCGAACTGGCGAGGGTTCACTGTAATTATTTTTGTACAAGACATGCTACACTGATAATCTCTGAGTTAGCAGTTCATCTTTAGTAAATTGTGTTTGGCAGGGAAAAAAAGATCTCTTGCTGTTTTACATCCTGCTTAGTGCAATATGGTCTGTGTAGGCAGGACAAAAGTGATCTCTTGCATATTTGACATTCTACATAGAGCAATACTGGTAACCTTGATCGCCACAAGTGATGCTGAAGAAACAGCCAAGACGCTGAGACAAGTCATGATGTCATCCAAAGTTGAGTTGCTTGCTATGTATCATAAACTCATGCCTGCAACTGCACCTCCCCATCATTTCAAAGTAGATGGATTCATCTTAAGGACTATTATGCTGGGGGCACTGTGGGGGAGGTAAGCCACTGCTTCAGTTATGCCAGTAGGCTTGAAACCCTGGAATCTTTGTGGAATACCTTTCTGTCTCATGAAATGCAGCATGTATATGGGTACATATATAGCACATACACAGAATGTGTGTTTACTTCAGGTGTACAGTAGGCCATTAGTTAAGCTCTTAGTCAGAAATTATACTCAGATGTTTGAATGTGTGGAGATTGGGACCGCTAATTCCTGTATTATTCAAGGAATTAGTATATGTGTAGTATGTATGTATAGATGTGTGTGTACAAACCACTGCCATGGAGCGAATTACAGGACAGAATAGAACTGCCTCTTTCGGTTTCTGAGACTTGAAGTCTGCAGGAGCAAAAAGCTTCATCTTTCTCCCACGAAGTGGCTGGTAGATTCAAACTGTTAACAGCTCAATATGTAACCCGCTCTGCCACCAGAGTTCCAGATGAGAGAGAGAGTGAGAGACCGGGTTAACTCAGCTAAGTAAAAAGTGCTCAGCTACTAAATAAAAAGTTGGCAGTTCAAACCCACCGGGCTTAGAAGAAAGATAGAGTTACCTGCTTCTGTAAAGAGGTCCATTGCTGCTGAGTTCATTCTGACTGGCCTTGTAAACCCTGTGGGACAGTTTCGCTTTGTCATGGAGGTTGCTAAGTCAGAATCCACAGCAAACCAAAGGCACTGCCATTGAATCAATGCTGACTCAAGGTGCCCCTTATAGGAGAGGATAAAACCGCCTCTGTGAGTTTCCAAGACGAATTGTTTAAGGATGTAGAAAGCCTCATTTCCCAGTGAGCTGCTGGTGGTTTTAAACTGCTGAGTATTGGAAGTGCATAAATGCCAAACCACTAAGCCACTGGGGCAGGTGATAATTAATGGGTTATAGTTATATAGTTACATATACATATGTGTGTGCGTGTGTGTATATACCTATTTATAAATGTTTACAATTTTTACTGAGGAAACAAAACTCTAAAAAAAATAGGAGTAGAGAAAATGAAAGGAGGAAGAATCCAATCCTGAGCATATAACATAGATCTAACAAGAATATAACCGAGGAAGTTACAAAAAGAGGGGGCAGAGAATTACTCCCTTACTGAATGTTTCACAAAAAAAGGGGGAAGTGAATGTTTCACAAAAAATTGTGTTTTTGATGCAGCGACTTGTGACTATAATAAATCACTGCACGTATAACCGTGTTCCCTATTAAAACAAGACTGTGCTTCATCTTTCAGCAAGGTCGACTTATTGAAAGTATTCCTGTGTGCCAAAGGACCTGCTGCCAGTTTTCGAGCTGTAAGCCAACACGACCGTTTTCATGAAGAATCCAGAGACCTACATGCTCTAAAGTACCTGAAGCTGGGGTGTTTAAGGAACCAATCCACAACTGGATTTACTTCAATACTAGTTTATCTGTTGCTGAAAACTGTAATGGGATTTATCATTTTAATTCCTTTCTCCTACTTAGTATGATTAGCAAACCTTAATTTGAAATAACCTTATAATTTACAACTACTATGTTCTTGTTTGGTTTTGGTTGAACTTTCAGTTTAAAAAATGAAAAACTCTGGTTCCTTGAGGCTTCCTCACCCCCTGCTATCTGGACCCCAGTATTGCTTCTCAATTCACACTAGACCGGAACATATACACAGGTAAAGAAAAGAGATGGTGGCTTACGACACATGGAATCCAGGAACAGGAGTGGGAATAGCAATGCCATAAGGGTAGGGAGGAAGGGGAGGAGGGGAAGGGAGAAAATGGGAAGCGATCACAATGATCGACATATTACCATATACCCATCTCCAGGGGGAAAGAACAACAGAAAACATGGGGGAAGGGAGACAGTGGTTGGTGTAAGATACGAAAATAATAATTTTTAATCTACCAACAGGGTATGGGGCGGGGAGGGAGGGAAGAGGGGGAAAATGAGCTGATACCCAGGGTTCAATAGAAAGTAGATGTCTTGAAATGAATGAAGGCAACATATGTACAAACATGCCTGAGGCAATCAATGTATGGATTGTAACAAGAGTTGTAAGAGTCTCCAATAAAATGATACTTTTTAAAAACTGGCTATTATAAAACCTATACAATATTGTAGGGGGGAACATAATTTGTTACAAAGTTTTTTTAATAAATCATTTTATTGGGGGCTCTTACAGTTCTTATCATTACAGTATTTTAAGTGCTATAATACTCTAATAATTCTGAACAGGAATTATATTTTATTTGGCATCAGCTTGGTTAATTTTATGGTATTCTTAATTCATGATATATAAACTAAGATCATTTTAAGCTAATAAACATATTTGGCATCTTAAAAAAATGAAAAGCAAAACTCATGTTGTTCACTTACCACATAACTTCACAGTTCTCTGCAAATTACCTTAAACCAATGATTTTTACTGTATGGCTTCTTTGGGTTACATAGCAGAGGCCTTGCCTTTAACAAGTGTGATTTCTAGAAGCTGTCTGGTATAAACACAGTATCTAATAATGGTTTACTGATAACCACAGTATGGAGGAAGAGGCAAGTATACCTGTTTGAATAGATGAAGAAAAACTTCAGGAAGGGAGTAAAATTAGTACTAGATATTGAAGGATAAGAAGGGATTTAAAAGTGAGCAGAAGAAAGGCAGCATAGGCCAGGAAGAGGAAGTGGTGAACAAAACCATAGACATAGGAAAAAGGGGCAACTTTTTCTTCCTTGCTTCAGTCAGAATCACATGAAAAGGCCCTTATCAAGATGACCACAGCTCAATATACACCTTCGACATTACCGTCTCCCAGATTTTAAAAAAATTCCAAAGGTGATCCCCATATCCCTTTGGGTGGAGGCCCACTGACTCCAGACGTGATTTGGTCCAGCTGAAGTCTGTCTGGGTCCATGAAGGAGATAAGCCTGAAAAATGCTTTCTATCTTGTGTTTTGTAGTATCATGGATTCTGAGCTGAAAAGTCAGTAAGATATTCTTTGGCAATAGTTTCTGATCAGTGCACTTGAGGAACTCTCTATAGTAATAAGAATGCTGAAT